GTATAACCCGGCTAATGTCATTCCCCAGTATTACTCTTTCCCTCCCCCTGATCCCTTTTCTCTATTCTACAGATCTCCCTTCAATTTTTATGAGACCCCACCCCTTTCTTTTCCTTTTTCCTTTCTTCTGCCTATGAGAGAGAATGTACAACTCTTGATTTTCTGAATTTGTATCATTTCACATAATGTAATGTTCTCAAGTTCCATCCCTTTTCCTGCAAATGGTGTAATTTCATTTTTTGTGATGGCTGAGTAAATCTCCATTGTACATATACACCACATTTTCTTTATCTATTCATCCATTGACAGACACCTAAACTGCTTCCATATTTTGGCTATTGAGAATTGTGCTACTGTAAGCATGGGTATGCATGCATTGTTATAATATGCTGACTTTAATTCTTTAGGATAAATACTGAGGAGTGGTGTACCTAGGTCATATGGTGGTTCCATTTCCGGTCTTTAGAAGAACCTCCATATTGACCTCCGTAGTGGTTGTACTAGTTTACAATCCCACCAACACTGTACAAATGTTCTTTTTTCCCCCACATCCTCTTCAACCTTTCTTATTGTTTGCATTCTTGCTGGCTGTCATTCTCACTGGAGTGAGATGAAGTCTCAGTGTAGTTGTGATTTACATTTCCCTAATTGCTAATCATGTTGAATATTTTTTTTTCACATATTTGTTGGCCATTTGTATTGCTTTTTTTTTGAGATATGTCTGTTTCTTTCATGTGCCAATTGATTGCTTGGGTTATTTATTTACTTATTTATTTGGTGTTGAGTGTTTTTTTTTTAGTTCTTCATATATTCTGGATATTAACCCTCTATTAGAAGAAAAGCTAGCAAAGATTTCTCTACCATTCTGTAGGTTCTCTTTTTCTCATTCTTAATTATTTTCTTTGCTGTGTAGAAGTTTTTAAATTTGGTGCTATCTCATTTATTATTTCTTGGTATTATTTCCTTATTTCCTGAGATTTAAGAGTCTTTTAGAAGGTTACTGTGCCTACAGGTTGGAGTATTGACCCTGTTTTCAAACCATTGACATTTAAAGTGATTATTGCAGTTCAATTAATGTCTACTATATTTGCTACAGTTTTCTATTTATTGTTCTTGTTGTTTGTTGTCTGTGTTTTCTACCTATTGTGCTTTTAATTGAGCATTTATGTGATTCAATTTTCTCAGTATATCAATTATGTTTTTTTTTTTTTTTTTATTTGGTGGGGCGGTACCAGGGATTGAATCCAGGGGCACTTAACCACTGAGCCATATCCTCAGGCCTTTATATTTTTTATTTTGAGACAGGGTCTAGGTTTGCTTAGGGCCTCATTAAATTGCTAAGGCTGATTTTAAAACTTGTGATCCTTCTGCCTCAGCTTTCCAAAGTGCTGGGATTATAGATGTGCCACCACCATTTTGCTTTTTTTTTTTTTAATATTTATTTTTCAGTTTTCGGTGGACACAACATCTTTGTAAGTGGTGCTGAGAATAGAACCCGGGCCGCAGGCATGCCAGGCGAGCGCGCTACTGCTTGAGCCACCTCCCCAGCCCCCATTTTGCTTTTTTAACTTATAAAAATAATTGCCCTAGAGTTTGCATTATTTATTTACAACTAATTCAAATCCATTTTCAAGTAATACAACACCACTTCATTTGGTAGTATAAGTGCCTTATAATAACAAGATCTCCTAATTCTTTCTTCTGTTCCTTGTATCATTGCTATCATTTATTTTTCCTATACATAAGCTATAATCATTGAATACATTGTTACTATCATTATTAGTTTTTGTTGTTGTTGTTGTTGTTACAGGGGATTGAACCCAGGGGCACTTAACTACTGAGCTACATCCCCAGCTCTCTTATTTCATTTTTAGGCAGGGTCTTGCTAGGTTGCTTAGGGCCTTGCTAAATTGCTGAGGCTGGCTTTGAACTTGCAATCCTCTTGCCTCAGCCTCCCGAGCCACTGGGTTTACAGGCATGTGCCACCTCACACAGCTGATGCTGTTATTTTGAACTAAACAGTATTTGTTAGATCCATTAAGAATAAGAAAAATGAAAGCTTTTATTTAATATTCACTTATTCCTTCTCCAGTGTCCTTCCTTTCATTATATAGAGCTGAGTTTTCTGATCTGTATCTTTTCCTTCTTTCTGAAGAAATTCTCTGAATATTTCTTACAAGTCAAGTCTGCTGGCAACATATTCCCTCGATTTTTGTTTGTCTGAAAAAAAACATTTCTCCTTCACTTCTACTGGGTAATTTTGCAGGGTATTGAATTCTAAGTTGGTAGTTTTTTTGTTGTTGTTGTTATTCTACTGTATTCTGTTCTTGTTTGCATCTTTTTTTTAAAGAATTTTTTAATATTTATTTTTTAGTTTTCGGTGGACACAACATCTTTGTTGGTATGTGGTGCTGAGGATCGAACCCAGGCTGCACGCCTGCCAGGCGAGCACGCTACCGCTTGAGCCACATCCCCAGCCCTTGCTTGCATGTTTTTTGAAGGAGAAGTCAGACATAATTCTTTGCCTCTGTATAGGCAAGATTTCCTTCCCACCCCCAGCTTTTTCAAGATTTTGTCTTTATCTTTGTTCTTCTGCAGTTTGAATATGATATGCCTAGGGTTTGTGTTGTAAGTGAATATTGGGAAATTCTTAAGTCACTATTGCTCCATATGATCCTTCTATTCCTTTCTTTCTTCTCCTTCTTGTCTTCCATTATAGAGAACAACCTTTGGTAGTTGTCCCAAAGTTGTTGGATATTCTGTTCGGTTTTTCTCTACCAATATCGTTTGCTCTTTGTTTTTCAGTTTTGGGAGTTTCTGTTGACCTGTCCTCTGATTTGTGTACTGATGAGCCTATCCAAGGCTTTCTTCATTTCTGTTAGCGTTTTTGATCCCTTGCCTTTGATTCTTTTTAAATTTTTATTCTTTCTTAGATTTTTCATTTCTCTGAGTACATCATTAATCTGTTCTTAAGTGTTGTTTACTTTTTCCACTGGGGCCCTCAGCATATTAATCATAGTTTAAAAGAAAAATCCTGATCAGATAATTCCAACGTCTCTGCCATGTCTGTGTCTGGTTCTGATGCTTGTCCTGTCTCTTCATACTTTGGTTTTGCTTTTTAATATGCCTGGTAATAATTTTGTTGTTGTTGTTGTTGAAAACCAGCCGTAATGTAATGGGTAAAAGGTCTTGTGGTAAATAGGACTTTAGTAGAGAAAAGAGGGGAAGTCCTGGACTGTGCACTTCCCAAGTGCTTGTCAGTGTTTTTCTCCCCTTAGGGGAGACAGGATGGCTACACAGACAGAAGTTGGACATTTCCCTCCTGCCACGTAGGTGAAACTCTGATAAGGCTCTAGCAGGTTGAGCTCTGGTGAGACAGTGTCTCCCGGGGGCAGGCCCTATTAAAAACAGAATGCTCTGGCATATTTCAAAATGATGACTCTCCCCACCCCACTGCTGGGCACATAGGGGATTTTTCTCTGATTCTCACTCTGAGAACCTGGTAGGGCTGCTGGAAGTAAAACTCATCCAAGTCCCCTCAAGACTGGGCCCTCTGGGGTTTCTGGCTAAGCCTCTAGCAGTCCTCAGTTTGGTTTTGGTGTTTCTGCCTAAACTGTTGATGTTTAGGTGCTGCATTAGGTTTTCCTACCACAAGGTCTCTGCTCTTGTAAGCTGTGATTCTCTTAGCTGTCTGCCTCTCTCTCCAGGTTTGGGGGCAGGAGTGTTAGGGTTTAGCTGTGGTATCCCCCAAGAGCTCATGTGTAAGACAATGCAAGACGGTTCAGAGGAGAAAGGACTGGGTTGTAAGAGTCTTAACCCAGTCAGTGAAGTCTCCTGATAGGGATTAAGTGAGGGGTAACTAAGTGGTAGGGTGAGGCTGGAGGTGGTGGGAATTGGGGCGTGGGTATAACATTTGTATCTGGTGAGTGGAGTCTCTCTGCTTCTTGATTATGTGAGCTGCTTCCCTCTGCCACACTCTTCTGCCATGATATTCTCCCTCACTTGAGCCCCTAGGAACGGAGCCTGCTGTCTATGGATGGAGACCTCTGAAACCGTGAGCCCTCAAATACACTTTCCTCCTTGACAGTTGTTCTGGTCAGGTCTTTTAGTCCCAGCAGTGAAAAAGCTGACTAAAACAAGTGGTCTGTGTTTGACGTGGGCCCCACTTTCTGGAGGCTCTAAGAAAAGTTGCTGATTTTCAGCTTGTTCAACATTTTCCTTGTTAGGCTGGAGTGGAGACTTCTAAACTCCTCATATGCTCACCACATCCACTTATTCGCTTCAAACACACACGAAGAGAGTGTGCTCAGTGGAGCATCACAGAAACGTCTTCCTGGCTCAGGTGGCTGCACTTTGCAAAGGTTGTCAGTGTAGGAGGAGTCTAGGAAGAGAAGAGGGAAGGCCAGTTACACTTTTCAGTGCCAGCAGAAGCAGATGCCCAACTACCTGGCCTTTAGGGGATATGACCAAGGGAGGGTACGATATGCCACTATCTTTCCACATCAAAGGACCTAGCAAAGAGCCTGACACTGAACTGGTGTTTTCTCCTATTCAAATCAACAAATTCGACCAACACTTACTAAGTGACTACTATGTGCCAGTCAGTGTTCTGGGCACAGGAGAACAACAGAACAAAACAGAGAATGAGACAGTCACTGACTTTCTAAAACTCTTATGACACTTATATGACTTTTAGATACGGTTTAGATACCTTTCTTTTACACATACTAATTCATTTCATTCTTGTGATATAATCTTCTGAGGAAGGCATTTCTTTTTTTTTTTTTTTTTTTTTTAGTTTTTTGGCGGAACCAACATGTTTGCTGGTATGTGGTGCTGAGGATCGAACCCGGGCCGCACGCATGCCAGGCGAGCGCGCTACCGTTTGAGCCACATCCCCAGCCCGAAGGCATTTCTTAAAAGATAAATTTTTTAGAACAATTATTTATTTATTTATCTGTTGTGCTAGAGATCGATCCTAAGGTCTTGTGCATGCGAGGCACGCACCCTACCAACTGAACTATATCCCCAGCCCCAGGACAGCATTTTTATTATCCCCATTTTACAGATGAGGAAATAGAGGCACAGAGAAGTTCACTGACCTGAGATGCTCACCTTGGGCAGCAGGGTGTTTTACACATGACTTAATAATGTGATGAAAGTGTCAAAAAACCAAACTCTTGTCTATCCCCAACATTTAAGGGCTCCCCTGCTCTGTTGTAGTTACGAAAAACCCAGTAATCAGGTGCTTCTCAGAGCACACACAGGCTGCCTTGTGCATCCCAGTGAGGAGCAATTCCCTCGCTTTGTGCTCAGCACTGCTGACTAGGTTCATCACCGCGTACCCCAGTGGCCTGATCCAGCTCTGAATGCTAAGTCATGCCTGCCTCTAACTGGACATCATTAGCAAAATCTTGGCCTCTTCTCCAGGGAGCTGAAACACAGGTAAGAAAGAGTCTTGTTTCTTCTTATAGACACATACTTCTCAAAGAGTATTTCTGGAAGGATAGGCTAGCTCACCTGAGATTTCTCAGGATCCAAGAAACCTCACTTCTAGAAAGTCCCACATGAGATTCTTAGACACTCTCAGGTTTAAGACTAAAATTGTAGAAGGGAGTAAAGTCTCTCAGGCAAGGATGAGAATCCATTGCTTGTGCAATTGTGGTTTTAAAGAACATAAGCAGCTGGGTATGGTGGTGACTCAGGAGGCTGAGGCAGGGGGATCACAAGTTTGAGGCCAGCTTCATCAACTTTTAACTCAAAGTTAAAAGAAGAGAAAGGGCTGGGGATGTCGTTCAGTTATAAAGTGCCTCTGGGATCAATCCTCAGTACTGCAAAAAATAAAAAATAAAGTGAAATCAATAATAACAGAAGATGAGTGACTCCACATTTTACTTACTCTTACTGGTAGCTACTTCCATATACCAAGACAAGCAGAACCTCTGGAATTGCTGGCCTCGGCCCTCCCAGGTGCTCCACTTTTGAGGAGCCTCTCTAGTCTGGAGCTGGACCTGTCGCTTCATTGACACACATGAGGAATCTTGGCTGGAGAACTGCAGTTCTAAAGGATGGGGTCCAGTTCTGTGGGAAGCCAAGTCTTCAGGGCCCCATGCAACTCCTGTGCTGTGGAATGAAATTTAACTTGAGAATTTCTGTTCTTAGCCCCTGTCCCACACTCAGGGGATGCTGAGGAGGATGAAGAGAAGCAGTCTTGATCATAATCCCGAAAAACACAATCCCAAATGCCACAATTCCAAATGTTGAAATTTCTAAAGATCAAAAACCCCAAAGCCTAAAATCCAGAAAATCACAGTCCTGAAAGATTAAAATCCTGAATGTGGAAATCTTGAAAGCCCGCATCCTGATAAACCATAATTCCATTGTGGGGGAAGAAGACGGGTGGAAGCTGAATTTTGGGGAAGGGATTAGTGCATTAGACAGGATAGCTGCTTCTGTAGCATTAGGCAGAACGAATACCTAGAGGTATTCTGCTGCCTGCCACATCAGAACTCCAGGCTGGTCAGCCTTGGCACAGGAGGGTTTGCATCAGCGGCCCCCGCCCCGGCCTTGGGTTTTTGGCTTGGGACTGAGATCACACCATCAATTTCCCTGCTTCTGAAGTCTTCTTCAATAAATGAAGAGGTGATCCTTTCTGTACAGGCGCATTTGTGAAGTATAAAGTTTCCCAAAGTCTTGGCTTTTTGGATGACTGCAAATGTGGTAGTGACCCATCATTTTTGATCCATCTCATCAAAAGACTCAGATTGTCTATCATGGTATTTTAAATGACTGCAGTTATGTAGTTGGGTGTGCCCAACTAAACATGGTGCTATCTGTGTATACCTTTCATTTTTGACCTATTTTTTTTTCTTTTTTTGTGGTGCTGGGGATTGAACTCAGGACCTCAACATGCTATGCAAATGTTCTACTGCTGAGCTATATCCACAGCCCTTGACCTTTTTTTTTTTTTATGAATTTGCTTCGTTTGCTCATAACCACTATGCCATGTCTGACTTTTGTTGGTACACCTAAGTGTTTATGCTTGCAAAAATATATGCTATTATTGACTATTTTATTGTGTTAAGTGGCCTATGAAATGAGTTCTATCATGTCTCTATGTTTCTTAAAAAAAAACTTTAAAAAATCTAAATAGAGATTTTTTTTTTTGTACTGGGAATTGAACCCAGGTGCACCTTAACCACTGAGCTACAGACCCAGCCCTTTATAAAAATTTTTAAAAATTTTATTTTGAGACAGGGTCTTGCCAAATTGCCGATGATCTCATTGAGTTGTGCACTTTTGGCCTCAAACTTGCCATCTTCTTGTCTCAGCCTCCCAAGTTGCTGGAATTACAGGCATGCACCACTGTGCCTGGTATTTTAAAGAATTTAAAAAATCATTTTGCTAAAATTCTATCTTAGAGATTTTGCTCTTTGGGGATTTTGGACTCTAGGAATTTTAAACTTTAGTGATTTTTGGGTTAATTTGATAACGATTTTAACATTCAGGATTATGGTGTTGGATTGTGTCTTTTGGGATTGTGGTCCCGTTTTCCATTACTGTTAAAAAAATACCTGACATAATTAACTTACAGAGAGAAAGGATTTATTGTGACTCCCGATTTTAGAGCTTCTAGCCCATGATCTGGCAGACCTCTTACTTTCAGGCCTCTGCCTGGTGTGCCAAATGGCAATGGTGAAGAGCATGTGGCAGAGCATGGCCAAGAAGCAAAAGGGGAAAAGGAAGGGGCTAGCATCCCATAATCCCCTTCAAGGGCACACCCAGAGTGACCTGATGACCTTTTACTAGGCCCCATTTTATAAAGGTTACACCACCTCCATATGGTGCTACCCAGGGAGCTAGAGCCAAGCCTTTAGCACATGGGCTTTTGGAGACATTCAATATCCAGATGATTGCAAGCCCCAACCCAAAGAGAAGTGCTACAGTAGAAATTAGAAATAGCCCAGGAGGTTTCAAAGAGAAGGATTGGTTGGATTGCTAGGCTATGTTTGGACTACTGCTATTCTTTGCTTCAGGACTTGAGGGCTTTGGATCTGATGTACATCTCTGATTAGGAGATCTCTGATTCGTTTATTCCCTCACTCATTTATTCATTCTTCAACTTATTTATTCATTTGTTGGAGGAGAATTTAGAACCTAAATTCTGCAGGTTATGCTGTAAATATTCTTGGGGATGCAAACACCCGAGGTGGTCTTGGAATTACTAATTTACCCACAGTACATCTCTTCACTGTAGTCCCTCAATATTTGTGTAGTGCTGGCCCAAGTTACTGCTGAAATTTTTTTGTGTTGTCCTATGATAGTGCTGTGGGGGACGGGGAAGTTGTGTTTGCATCTGATCCAGGAAAACCACACAATCAAAAGACAAAGCGTTCGGATTTCTATTTGGGTGGGAGCCTCTTAGGGAGCAATTTGACAAATGTCTGAGAAAGGATATCTTTTGCCAGACTGAGGGATTGTGCAAGGGCATGTTGCAAAAGGCTTTGTTCTACGTCTTTGTTTTTCAGACACATAACAAGCTATTGAATGGTGCACACACCACCCTGCTGGGTCACCGGGACTTGTCAGCTGGCAAACTTGCATGATGCATCGGAGGGAGAAACACAGTGCATTCTGTGGTGGCTTTTTACCCTCTCACCATCTTGAGAAGCCTATTGTAGGAAACATCTGTTCTTTGGGTCTGCCTAGCATCTATTCTCTCTCTCTGGAGATAGAATCTCTATTTTACCTTAGGGGACACCCTTCCCTTCCTCATTCTTAATCCCTATGACTTAAGTAGACTGATTCTGCCTCCCAGTTCCAGGATTGAATGGATGACCCAGGCTGGGTCAATCAGTGTATGCTCTCTCCCATGGTTCAGGGTTGGTCATGTGACTCAAATGGGCCAGTAGATTGAATTCTGAGGCTTTTCATTGGAACTACTGGGAAAGAGAAGCCTCAGGGTGGGTACACTCTGAAGAAATAGCTCAGGGTGATGGTGGTTCATTTGGTCATGGTGAAGGAATGTCCTTCCTCAGAATGAAGCTGACACAGCAACACCAAGCTGAGAGGGGAAAGAGGTAAATTTGGGGATCATGTATTATGAACATCTGGATTCAGCTACACTTAAGGCTCCCTTGAATCTCCCATTTATAGGAGCCAGTAATTTTGGTGATAGATTAAACATGGCCACAATTCCTTTGTGGCTCCTTTCATTAAGAGGTGACATCTCTGAATCTGAGCTGGCCTTGTGACTGCTTTGACTCAAGGACAGTGGACATGAATTATGGAGACCAGCCTCAGGCACCTTGCAGCTTCTGTCTTCACCCTCTTGGCCCTCTGTTGGAAGAGGAGGGGCCGTGAGAACCACAGTTCCTTAGCCACCATGTGAGGTGGGCAGCAGTGAGGCCATCTTGGAACTACTGGGAAAGAGAAGTCATTTGAAGTTTGATCTACTGCTATTCTTTGCTTCAGGACTTGAGGGCTGTGGATCAGACATACAGTTCTGATTTGGAGGGACATTGTGTTGAATGCCACTGCGTTGGTGAGCACCGGTGGCACCACCTGTAATTCTACCTAGTCAATTCTCAGAATCAGAGTTGTTATTTTAAGCTAGTAAGTTTTGGGGTTATTTGTTATACATCAATAAATAGCTGTTAAGCTTCTTTTCTGGGCTTAAGTAAATTTGATTTTATTTTCTGCCATTTGCATCAGAGAGAATTATGACTGATACACTTATGCAATAAACCTTGCCAGAAAAGTACTTTTGCAGGACTTCTTTCCACCTCTAAGTGAAACCAGCTGCACTGATCTAGGTCTCTGCATGTTAAGTGTGTGTGGGAATTCTGTTGTTGGTGGATGCCATTTCTTCTTTGTGGTTATGCAAATCATCTGAAATGATAATGTTACTATCTTCCAAAATGTATTTCTCCAGCAAGGGAGACCTTTCAACAACTCTTTCTTTACTTAGCATTTAGGGCTTTAACACTTGTCATTCCTTTGTCTTATAAGTAGATTTTTTTTTGGGGGTACTGAGAATTGAACTTAAGGGCTCTTAATCCCACCCCTTTTTATTTTTTATTTTGACACAAGGTCTCCCTAAGTTGCTGAGGCTGGCTTTGAACTTGAGATCCTCCTGCCTCAGCCTCCTGAGTTGTTGGGATTATAGACGTGGACCACCATGCCCAGCCAATAGATCTTTTTATAGGCTCTCATCTCACACAGTTGACTTAAGGAGTTCCTGATCTGTCCTGAAAATACCCAAGTGAGATGGAGAGGCAGTCACTTGAAGGTTGTAGAGGCAGTGAGTGAGCATGGGCCCTGGCTTTAGACGTGTGGGCTCAGAGCCTGGCCTTGCCACCTACCAGATGAGGACTCTGTGCACATGACTTAACCTGACAGTTGTTTCCTCATACATGAGTGGCATCTTCATGGAGTCATAGTGACCACTCCACATGGTAAGGCATGGAAGACCTGATGTGGAATGGCAGTAGCCCAGATTTAACACTGTTCTTCTTGAAGGAGGCAGGATATAGGTGAACATTCCTTTTTAACACTAGAAGGTACTGTGCCTTCGTTGGTTTGTTATCAGGTATAGAATGGATTGTGTGTGGTGGAGAGGGTCTTTGCTGGTAACGTATCCATTTATTTCCTTTCCAACATAGACTCAATATAATATAAGCAAATTATAATGTCATGTGATCGTGTTGTTATGTCATAGAATTATGATGTTGGGACAGAGTGGCTAATGCTCTTCTGAAAGCAGAGTCAAAGTGCTTGACACTGAGGAGGAGTTTCTCAGGCAGGGTTTGGAAAGGAATTTCCAGCCACGGGAAATAGCACGTGCTCAGGCATGGGAGAAAGAGCAGTGCATTCTGGAGAGCGCAAGAAGCTCAGTGTGCTGGGGTGACTGCGAGGGAATAGAGGAGGGAAGCCAGAATGACAGATGGTGATGTTTGTGAGGGACAGTGCATTGGCCTGCTAAGGAATGTGGACTGGATGGTGTAGATAGTGGCCATCATTGGGGCTGGGGCTAGGGCTCAGTGATAGTGTCCATCACTGAGGGAGTGGAAGCTGTGAGGGTGACTTGAGCGATGGTTTAGAAAGATCAGGTAATTTGGAGGGGTGTGAGGCTGAAGGCTGGAGGGTCAGTTATGATTAAATTACAAAAGTCCATCTAAAGCTGATAAAAGTCTGAATTTAAGGTGGCTGAGGTGATAGCAAGGTGGAGAAAAAAAAAAAAAAGACCAAAAATATCCTGCAGGCAGCATTGCTAAAAGTTGGTGGCCAAGTGGATGTGGAAGGGTGATGGTGAAAAGCAGGGAGAAATTGAGGTTTCCTATTTATTTTAATAAGTAGGCTTCCTCCATTATTTTATTGCCCACTGCAGAAACTAGATGGTGTCACGAATCACATTGGAGAGTATAGGAAGAGAAGCAGACTTGATGTGGGGGCGAGGAAGCACTGTTGTGGATATGTTGAATTTGAGGCACCTTAAGAAATTCAGGGAAAGACTAGCACATATTCTAGGTCAGATGTGCACCGAGGAACCACTAATCCGTAGAGGAAAGTTGAAGCCGTAGGAGTGGTTAAGATCGACCAGGAAAAACGTGTAAAGTAAGAGGACCATCTAGTGTTTAAACTTTAAAGAATACTCCTCTTAAGTGGAGCATGAGAAGAGAAATCACGGAAGAAGGTCATTGCACATCACATTCCCCAAAGATGGCTGCACCAATATCTTCCATGCCACAGGAGCTGTGAGCATTATGTCATGGCTTCAGGCTGCTAAGCGTTGGGGCGATTTGCTATATAAACAAGTAACTAGAACAAAGAGAATAAGGAAGAGGCAAGACAGGCTGGAAACTAGTGGAAAGAGGGAAGCTTTAAAGAGATCAAGGCAGCTAACACCTATGAGACGCCCACTGGGTTTGGCCACTAGCAAACACCGTGACCTCAACAGAGGCACTGTCAATGGCATTGTGAAGGCTGGAGTCAGGTTGCTGTGAAGGGACAAATAAGAAATGGAGTGTTGGGCTGGGTTGTGGCTCAGTGGTAGAGTGCTCGCCTTGTAGGTGCGAGACCCTTGGGTTCGATCCTCAGCACCACATAGAAATAGATAAGTGAAATAAAAGTATTGTGTCCAACGACAACTAGAAAATAAATATTCAAAAAAGAAAGAAATGGAGGGTAAATGACTTTTTCTTTGGTGGTGGTGGGGTGGTACTAGGGATTGAAGCTGGGGGGGGGTGCTCTACCACTGACTCTGCTATTTTTCTGCAGTATGCATCTTATTTGGTGACATTCAGTAAAAAATGGGGTCGGGCAGGTGGATAAGAAGGAAAACAAAAGAGAATTAAGAAGGAACCTGAGTAGGTTGTGGTCTGACAGGGCTGTTGTAACAGAACTGTAGACTGTTTGGCTTACAAACAACAGAAAGTATGTCACCGTTTTGGGAATTCCAAGCTCAAGGTGCTGACAGTTATGGTGTCTGATGAGGTCCCCTGCCTCCAGATGGCTCTCTTCTCACTCTAACCTCACGTGGCAGAAGAGATAAGGGGTCTCTTTTATGAGGGCACTAATTCCATTTATGAGGGTTCTGCCCCCATGACCTAATCATCTCCAAAGCCTCTTCCTCCCACTAAATTTTGGAGGGATGTGAACATTCAGGACCATAGCAATAGGTGAGTAAGTGATGGCATAGATTTAAGGGCACAAATTCTTTAAAAATAGCTTGTGTGTGTGTGTGTGTGTGTGTGTGTGTGTTTTCCCTCTTCTCTTTTTTTGGTCTCTGGGTATTAAACCCAGGAGTGCTTAACCCCTAAGCCACATTCCCAGCCCTTTTAATATTTTCTTTTGAGACAGGGTCTTGCAGAGTTGCTTAGGGCGTCATAAAGTTGCTGAGGCTGGCTTTGAACTTGCAGTCCTCCTGCTGGGGATTATAGGTGAGCACCACTGTGCCCAGCTTGGTGATGTTTTTGATATGGGATAAATTCATAATAGATACAACATGGGAGGAAAAAAAAGTAAATGATGGCTGGGTGCTGTGGCGCACATCTATAATCCCAGAGGCTTGGGAGGCTGAAGCAGGAGAATTGTGAGTTCAAAACCAGCCTCAGCAACTTGTCTCTAAGTAAAACATAAAAAGGGCTGGGGATGTGGCTGAGTGGTTGAGTGCCCTTGGTTCAATTCCCAATACACCTTTCCTCCGCAAAAATAAAAGTAAATTATAAAACATTATATTATAGAGTCCTACTTTGTAAATGACAAATGTGAATAGAAATAATAGTACACATGGAAATATCAGTGGTTTTCTGTGGGTGGTGTTGTGATGGAGATTTTCATTTTCCCTGTTTAAAAGGAACAGGTATTTCTTGTGTGAATAAGTAAAATCAGTACAAAGGAAGCAACCACTGAATCTGCATGTTGGTTCCTCACGTATCTATGTGCCAACAGGAAAGCCTGTTGCTGTCCCTTTGCTACAGCCTTGGAGAGGATCACATCGTGTTGTCCTGTAGCCTCTGCTGTCGAGGGCAGCGGCCACAGGACAGGCTGTGTTTAGAAGAGGAAGAGGAAGACCATAGGAAGAACATGGCTAGACTCCTGAGGGTCTGCCAGCTGGGACTGGGAAGGCCTGAGCCTCAGCGTCCTCTTTGCCCTCTTCATCTGGCCTCTGTCCTGTTTCTTTGAAAAATGTGTATATCTTGGACGTGTCTTTCATTCTGATGGTGCCTTGGGTTCTGCGGGTGCTGGGCTGGCCTTCCAGTGCCCTCCAACAGTTTTTCCTGTTAGTGTTGGAGGCTGTGTGAGGGGGAGGCCATTCTGGATTATTGTGGTAACCTCTCCAGGTGCACTTAGGACTTGGAGCAAGCTGGGAAGTGCAAGGGAATTGTTTTTCTGTTGTTTCTTTTCTTTCTTTTGTGTGTGTGTATTTTCTTTTTCTTTCCCCCTTTCTTTTAACCTTAAATATTGGTGTCTATTTGTGTGTGTGTGTGTGTGTGTGTGTGTGTATGTGTGTATAACTTAGCTGGGAGAACTCTACTCTCCTAATTGTTTCTTTGAAATGTCCCCCTCTTCCTTGTTGCTCCCTCCCACAGCACTTGCTGCTCACCTGCTAGAGTCCTCCTTGACCAGATGGGCTTTTTCTGTCTGCATTTATCCACTAGGTTAGGGTTAAATTCCTGAAGGGCAGGGACCCTGTATTTCCAACTACATCAAAAGAAATCAGAAGACAGTGACCTCTCTCCTTCCGGGGCTCTGCATTATATCAAGTGCTGAATAATTGTCTGTTGGTAATGGCACCAACCAGTCTTTGATCATAAATATGTGTTTCCTGTGTCCCTGGACCACTGTGTGTATTTCCTCTAAATGCTACATTATTCTGCTTTGGGGTATGAAATATTGCTTCATGATCTGAATGTGTGATGCACTGGATCTGATAGTGGGAACTGGCTGAGCCCTTCCATGTTTGTGGTAATCTTCTTTAAGCCAATGTATTTCCTCTGGTGGACTTCACTCTGATCAGTTGATATGTCCAAGGTGGACCTGTGCAGTCCCACTGTGGTGTTTAGGTGGTGGAAAGTTTGGCCAGGGAGGGAGGCAGCTCTTAGCCTGGGGAGGACTTATGTAGAAGCTTTTCAGAATTGTGACTGTATCTTTGATGAATGTTCAGTCTCTT